TAATGGAGCTCACCTCTTGAGTAGCGTCGATCGCGACTGCGTGAACGGCTTCTTTTTCGAAGTCGGCTCGGTGAATCTGCCCTCCTACGATCGCGGACATTTGGATGTTCGGCTCTGCATTTCGTATCAATTATATGAACGAAAGCAGTATGACAACACAGGAAGGCCCCAATCGAGGGGAGATCCCAGGTGGATCAAGTCCGAAGAAGCATGGTTTTCCACTTAGAGCACAACAATAGCAAATGGACGTGTAAAATGAAATGCACAAGAAGATAAAGAAGTGATTTACGTTAAAGTACGCCAAGTTCATAAAGGTGTATAAAACGGTAAGCCGCCTGCAAGCTTTAGCAAAGATGCGATAGATATTTTTTGCCTTCTCGCCACTATTTCTTATTGCTCCATCTCATTTGAACAGAATTTGATTGAAATTTTTTTAAACATGTTGACAAATTTTACAGAAACACCTTCTCTGCACGTACCTCCTTTGGTCATTTTGATAGTATCTTGAAGAGTCTGCTGTTTCCGCACAGTTTTGATAATAATCGCTGTAGAATCGCTCTCTTGAACGATCATATTGCTGTCCTTCGACCTCCAATTCTTGCTAAAATCAATCACAAAGTAAAAAAAAAGCTTATGCTATGCACTGCACTGAGGAACCTGCATTACAAACAGTGTAACAATTCCCACCAATCCTTCCAACAGCGCCGGCTTTCCCATTTAACTATAGCTTAGCAATACGGCATGCACTACATTTTAAATGAATTTGCAAAGTGATCGCTATATCTTCCTTCACAACAAATTTTCCAATAGGGGCTGGTGGGACGAAAGTCGTAGTGAGGCAGTGTATCAGATAGCAAAGTGATAAGCGACGCGTACATTCAATTCCCTCTCTCAACGATCTCTGCAATCAATCGACTGGACGGCTATGGACGTTTAAGCTCGACTACCACCGTCATAACATGGAGGATTATTCTGACCAGCACTCTACGACCATCAAGACGAAGAAGAGATCCTCAAGGTGCAGCAGCAAGATCGAAATGTCCGAAGAACCTTATGGAGGACGATTGCGAGGATACGAATCGACCACTAGAAACGTTGGAATTCCTACAGTGAAATGTGATAATGGGGCATGTAGAAAAAAAAATTAACCTTCACTTGTGTAGAGTGGTGTGCAAAAACGTTTGCGTCAGCCGGGATTTGAACCCAGATCTTACTCTTTCCGAGAGCATGTGCTTAACCGTTGCACACGCAACGTTATGTTACGTGCAACGGTTAAGCACTTGCTCCCGGAAAGAGTAAGATCTGGGTTCGAATCCCGACTGATGCAAACGTTTTTGGACACCACTCTAAATCGTTGGGTTTATTTACATAACGTTGCGTGTGGGTAACATAACGTTGTGTGTGCAACGGTTAAGCACATGCTCCCGGAAAGAGTAAGATCTGGGTTCAAATCCCGGCTGACGCAAACGTTTTTGCACACCACTCTAAATCGTTGGGTTTATTTGAATCAACATAACACCGCAATCGGCGGTCAAATAAAGATGACTTCTCCATTGAGTTTATCAGAGATACAACAGAAAAAAAAATGTAAACACACCTTAGTATTTTGATTGCTTGCCTCCGCGTCGGGATCGTATACCCACGGCAGCATTGCTGTCACCGTTTGCCTCAAATATACTCTGAAAATTAACAAATCATGCATTGTGTCGCTATCAACGATAAATACAAATATATATCCATGACACATATCAACAGATGAATAAACAACCATTCATAGAACACATGACGACCGGTTGACAGCCTCTCAATGTAGAAAAATCACGAGATCTTTCAAGAAAACATTGGAATCTCTCTCAGTACCCGCACATCTTGGATCCGAATAGAAGCGTTTGAGATCAGGTTGAGTTCAGTGATTGGAAATCTTGAGATGGCCTCTATAGCGGTCATGACGCGATGAGCCATTTTAACCCTTTGCGACGGCAGCGACAACTCAAGCGGCGCACGACCTCCGTTTTCTGAGGATTTTTTCCTTTGTTTCGGAGACAAATTGTAAGCTTTTTTGCATTGATCTGATGAAACTTAATCCTCTCTACACGCTTAGATACTTTTTGTGCACATTCAACCTTTATGTCCGAAGAAAATTCCGAATGTGAAACGTGATTAAATTACAACTCTCACAGCTCACCATGAAGACTTTTTCAAAAACCAAAGCTAACCTCGGAATCGCCGAGATCTGTGCTATCGAAAGAGCATCTGTACAGTCAAATGAGAAATCATTCACAGACCACAATCAAGCAAACAAAGCAAACCGAGTGTGAAACAATTTCAATTCAGTCTCCAGCGTACTCAAGAGGTCTTTCCAAAAAATGAGCACAGCGTTGAAACCACCGAGATTTAGGCTTTTGAATGGCTATAGAGTTTCCAGATAAAAGGCCTCGCCCAGCGAAAAAAGACGTCTGAAAAGCTGAGGACTGGAATGACGCCCGTCGTCCGTATAACGTCAAGAACAATTATATCGCGCGCATGAAGCTAGACATCTGAATGGAAGCAACAGGAGACGATACGACTATTTCCTCACACGAGCAAAGTCTCAGTGGCGGCGATGGCAAGACTAGATATCGCTCGGTCGGTTCAGTGGCAATTCCAATGGCACTTTTCGCTCGTATAGAAAAATTGGCAAGAGATATTGAGCTCGCGGATTTCCAAGGATTACTAAGATCATCGGAGATCAGAACAAAGCATCACAAGGAGAAGAACCGTCGCCCCCAATCTAGACAGAGTCAGCGACGGCACCACCGCCCCCGACCTCCACAATTTTAGGAATGAGCGAATCGATGGCCGGAGCACGCGTCGCGGAGATGCAGTCGCGACCGCAGTTGCGGCCGATGGGGGCGCGATATCCGACGGATGACGTTCTGCTTGTTTTTTGCTATCCTCCTCGCCCCCTGATTTCTCGATAAGTCTCGCTAAAGGTTACTATTCAGCTTTCTTTCCACGTCCACATCGACGTGATCTACCAGCAGATGTGTCCGTTCCATCCTGCATAAGCCCTTCTATCAAAATTTTTTTGTGTCGGAGTCAATGACTTAGCGGTTGCGGCGATCGATCGTCTTCTGAATATGAGTGTTTACTTGGATCTTAGGCTGGTTTCTCTTATTATTTCGCTGATATCTTGAGATTAGGAGGAGGATTCCCTCGGCTATCGTTCCGAGTTGTTTCGCCTTCATCAGAACCATCGATCCGAATCGTTCGCCCTCGTGGGTTTTCGTCCTCGTTGCTGATCTAGAGAGAATCTCCTTCGGCGGAGCAACGCTCGTTTTCCTAGAAATACGAAGACGTCGAAGTGTTAGGGAATGAATCTTCTAATCAGAATCATGATCGACCAAATCACTGGAAAGATCTGTCATTGATTGGTAATGCCGAAATTGATAAGAGCGCAGTGCGCAGTGATTAGAGGTGCCCTGCGTCGCACACGAGGTCACCGGTTCGATCTCGCGCTCATGGCTCACCAAGCCATCTATCCCTCCGGGGTCGGTAAATTGGTACCAGACAGGTCTCAGACTTGTCTGGGAGGATAAGCAGCACTGACTCGGATCAGCTGGAGGTCACCGCGAGTCACTGTAAAGGCCAGATGTGCATTCAATCACCTCAAACGAAATCAAAATTTGAAGACGAATGCATGGCGCATCCCTCAGGAATTGATCAACTCCCGAGAGTTTTATCCTTTATCCTTCTAACGAAATTGAAGAGAAGTCGGTCGGATTTCTTCTGATTATAAGAGGGCAAATGAAAAATTCGACCTCATTCGCTGGAGAAGAGGTTTTCATAAGAGTGTTAGTAACCATTTGAAAGCTTAGATTTCTAGCTAGAGCCCTACGTCGTCGGTTTCGAAAAGACCCTTTTATAACGTTGTAAAATCCACACAAAACTATGCGCAGACGCGCATATTAGTCGCCGGATAGAGCTCTTTCTTTGGACTGATAGTAATCATTCGATAGCGTAATCGTTGCTGATTCCAACGCTATGGTTATATCCTGAAAAGGCCGTTTCTCTACAACGTTACAAGTTAAATAAGTTGAACTTCCATCCACGATCAAGAGAGTCTATGGCCAGTTCACGTGCTTGTGATTGAGGCGACCACGTTCGATAACGCAATGATCATCAATCTTTCGGGCATATGAACGCGTAGAGAAGTATCGCGCTAGCAATTCACGTGGCCGCGTCACGCACTCCGCACGTGAATTGGCCAAAACGCCCTTTGACCGCAGATGGAAATTCAGCTTATTTTACCTGTTGCGTTACAGAGAAGGTGCCTGTCCAGGATGTAAGCACAGCATTGGAATCAGCAACGATTACGCTATCGAATGACTACTACTGGTCCAAGGAAAGAGCTCTGTCGGGCCAGAAATATGCGCGTTTGAGACATAGCTTATGTAGATTTTTTTAGCGATGTAGAAGGGTCTTTTCGAAAAACGAGACGTGAGGTTGTAGCCAGAAATCTAAGCTTTCTGATGGTTACTAATACTCTTATGAAAAGTTCCTTTCCAGTGAATGAGGTCGGTTTTTCATCTGTCCTGTAATTATCACAAAGACCTTGAAATTGAATTTTATGGATTTTTATGGCGTTGGATGCAGTGTCTAGGTGTTGGTGTAGTTCTCCCTCCACTATAACAGTAATGAAATTTGCATCCAATAATGTAGAGTGGTATGCAAAACTTTACCTTAGACGAGAATCGAACCCGCATTACACTCTTCCATTTGTGCATTCTAACCAGTTGCGCTACCGACGTTCCTATTCCGCTACCATTCTTTCTGTGATACAAGCTAGCGATCTCTCATTAACCAGCCGTCAACGCTTTGGCCTAGTAAACACGTATGGGCCTTGGACTAAGTTACGCTGCTGATTCCCTCTCTCTCTCTCTCTCCCTCTCTCCGTGCTACGCATATAAAAATGTAAGTATGTGTAGTCAATCGCAGAAAGAGTGATAACAGAACATGGAGCCTCGATAGTGCAGTAGGTTAGCACGCGCCCCCGGAAAGGGGAAATGCGGGTTCGATTTCCGTCCGAGATTCAAAGTTGTGCATATCTCCTTATTTTATTGGATATGTAGTTGTTATGTCTTATGACTGCTAAAAAAAGCATAAGCAATTGTTGCCAATGAAGTTAAATCGCCACAAAGCAAGAAGTTTGCTCAAGTTTTCATGGCTATCTAAGCTGCTTGAAATCCTTGCGAGAGTGCCTTAGATTTCCTTGTTTTTACTTATCATTACTTCCCCTCTCGCCGTCTGTTGAAATTGTCCTTCTTTATTGCTGAATAGGAAGCTTTCACTGTCATTAAGGCACTAAGCCTATGCGCGCATTGACACGGCTACTTATTCAATATAGTCTATGAGAATATTCAGAGCCTTTCGAGGTTGGTACGTCAGAACCATACGTAAGTTTCCTAGGTGTCGTCCGCTTCATTAGTGGCCCACGGCCCCACACTTAACCCTGCTTTATAGCAGCGATGGGGAGACGTTATTATGGAATAGCACGTGATATGTGCTATCACCAATTCTCAGTCGATAATGCGACTTCATAACGCTCCCATCCTTCTATAAAGCAGGACTTAGTGTAGGGCCGTGGCCCACTGATGAAATGGGCGACACCTCCGAAATGTACGTGTGGCTCCTCTGACGTACCAACCTCTAGAAGGCTTCTAAACATTCTCACAGACTGTACTGAATGTTTGAAATGACGTTTAAAACAGTCAATGAGAGGTATTTCTACTGCTTGTTCTTTCATTATCTCATTATTTATCTGGGGGTTCGGTCTTAAGAGCGGTGTGGTAGACTGGTTTAAGGGCTCCGCGATACCACGTGGTCGATGGTTTGATCCTGCGCCAAAAGCCCCTAATCATGTCGTAGCGGGATCGACGAATTGTTACTGGAACTGTCTGAGAGGGTAGTGGCACGAATCTCATGGATCGGAAGGCCAGCGCGACTCATAGTAAAGGACAGATATGCATTCAGTTACTTCTAACGATGCTAGTCGAAGACGAATGCATGGCGTATCTCTCGGGATTGATCACCACGTGACTTTCAACTGAGGAGCATTTCATTACAACTCTCGAGGCACACAGGTATCAGAATCTTTTCAACTCGAATAATGCACTTTGCAGCAAAGGTACTAGTGCCTTCTTCAACGGTCTCGGTAACAACACAGTTGTTCCAATGCCACTTCTATGGATCCCTACCGAGCTTGTTTGATCTAAAACAGGGATCGTGGCCAGGTTGTTGTGATACTCGTCGGCACGGGGCTGATCCCCACCCCTCAACACTCTCCGGCAGTCAACAACGAACCCCAACGCCACAGCCAGGCCATTTTTCGAGACTGCAGCGAAACGTGCTTAATCTGTATTCTACGACGTGCGAGAAGAAGACGAAAAACGAACTGAATGATAGAAGTGCTAGGGTTCATACAGTGGAAAGGGATCGTGTGAAATGGGTTAAATGAAATAAACCTATTTAACACTTGCACTTCTGACTTATTCTTAGTATTCAGGGATGACTTCGGCTTCAACTGGTCTTGATCTTGGAAATGCTTCTGAAAACTCGAAGCGGAAACCGTCAGGCGTGGAGACTTGTATTGACAATCCACGTACGACATCGCTGGCACTTTTATTGGTCGGTGGCGTTCATATGTTCTTCAGCACTGCTTTGGTCGAAACATGGACTATTCCGGACGAATAACCTCCCGAATCATACATTTGTAGCTCACGTGATGTGCAGCTATACCCTCGTTGGGAATCCTCATAGTCTACGCACCATTGTGAAGCCACGACGAAGGCGAAGTCGAAACGTTCTGTGGCCTTGGAAAGGTTCTATAAAGGAGACCGTACCTCTAATGAAGCCGTCATTGGTGACTTCAGAGCGGAGATCGAAGACGTCTAATATTTCATAGTGCAACGCATGTATTGGAACGGAACCATCAACGTGAGCTGCCCGACTTTACCACAATCACGTTGTGCTATTGCACAACCGGTTCCTCGTCGCTCAATATTGGGCATAAAATCAATCAATAAAGAGGGCATAGTTCAAAAGTTTTACCTGACATATGTCACTGTTGCACTAACGTTTGGAAAGTGGTTCAGCCACAGCCTCCTATGGACAGGTTTTCTCACTTGTAAGTAGGAGAGAAGGGGAACCGTCGCCGAGTGGTTGTGATGCTCGTCGCCGCGTGGGGTTGATCCCCCTTTCCCCAACCTCTTCGGCAGTTAACAATGAACGTCTATGAAACGCCACAACCAGGCAGGCTATCCTCGAGACTGCAAGGAGACGTGCTCAACCAGTACTCTGCGACGTTCAAGAAGAAGAATAGCGAATTGAATGCTAGAAGTACTGAAATGCGCACAGTCGAAAGAAATCACTTCGAGACGAATCAAATCAAGTGCCTGAAAATATGCGAAAAAAGCCGCAGAGTCTGACTCTCAAAACAGTTTCAGGTATTTGTCCATTATAAGGCGACAAATGACAATCCTATCTCATTTGCTGACCAGGAGCTTTTCATAGGATTGTTTGTAATGATTCGGAAGCTCAAATTTTTGGCTAGACCCCCACGTGACCGGTTCTCAAACACTTTTTAACGCTGTAAATCCAAATAAATTATGTTTCACACACTCACCTGTTTCTTGAATCTCGCTATAATTGCTGGAACAGAACTCTTTCTTCAAGATGCTAGTATTCATTTGATAGCGCAAGTTTCGGAGAACTCAAAAATGTATTTGCTTTTTGGAAAAGCTCTTTTGATAACACTGTAGGAGAAAAAAAAAAGATTTGTGGGTACCGTTCTATGATGGCGGAGCCACTTGAGGCCTTCAGTGGAAACGTATTTTTTGTTTTTGCAAAACGATTCCGTAGTTTGTCGATAGCTCAAATCAAGTGAATTTCAGTGGCATGTTTACTTTCTCAAATAGCTTATTTTTAGCGTCGTACCAGTCAAAATAAGATCTTGTTTTTCATTCGAAGATTTCTCACTGGTTAAAAGTTTTGTTGTAAGGAACTTCTGATCGTTAGATAGAGTAAATCTTTCCGATTATAATGGTAAATCTGGCTTTCGGAAAGGACTTCTGAGAGCTTTGTAATGACCGAAAGAATGTTGGCTTTCACACTCAGTGAGCACTGCTAGTCGATAAGGTGTGTGCACAACTGGATGCTAGAGGGCATACACATTTTCTCAATCAGGAAGATTTGTTCTATCTAATGGTTAAAATTTTGTTATAAAAAAAAACTTTTGTTAGGCGAGAAATCTTCAAATGTGAAACAAAATCTCATCTTGATTGGTACGGCGTTAAAAACAGGTGATATGAGTAATGAAATATACCTTTAAAATCCACTTGATTTAAGCTATCAGACAATCATACATTTGTCAGATAACAGCAAAGAATACGCTTTTATCGAAGGCCTCAAGTGGCGCCGCCGCCATGATAGAACAGTACTGATTTGTGCTTTACACTTCGAGATTAGAACAGAGCTCTTTCATTGAACTATTAGTAATCGTTCCTAGCGGAAGTTTCAGTAATTGCAAAGCTGTGCTTATTTTCTGGAAATGTCTTTAGCAGGAAAAACAAGATCGAGTTTCACATTCTCGACGACATTGTTTACCGACTAGTCCATGTGCTCGGGGCCAACTGATCAATGCCCTGATCGTTGGATATGTGGGATGCAACTTGTTATTCAATCGGGAATTTTTTCCGCTTTGAAAGGAAACTCCAGACTAAACGATTGATTCAAATATTACGAAAGTTTCCCTGCACATTGATATGCTTTTCGTCCTTTCAGCGAAATATAAACGTGATAAAAATGAAGGTAAGCGTCGGGTATCAGACCTAATCTCTTTTTTGGATCTCACAGCGTTATAAGTGAGTCTTTTCGAAAACCGTCGACGTGGGGCTGTAGCCAGAAATCTAAGCTTTCCAATGATTACTAACACTCCTGTGAAAGTTCCTTGTACAGCGGATGAGATCGGTTTATCATTTGTCGCCTCATAATGGACAAGTACCTTGCTTCAATTTGAATCTACTATGATTCTGAGGATCTATGATTGTCGATAATATCGCTGGGAAATATGACTGATTCATTCTGCTACTACAATTGGCACGTAAATAATGAGTGCGTGGCTGAATATGGACTGAAAAAGGGCAGCATGGAACTCCATGACCCAATGAAATCCATCAACGTATCTGTTCGTTTGCCAATCTCTCTCAAAAGGAAGAAGAACTTTCTATAGAAGTGATAGCATCACACCGTGTGAAGCTGCGGATGATGAGAGCAACATGCGCATCACCTACGGAATTTCGTCATCGGAGACCTAGATGAATGGTGAGAGATGGGATATGCCTAATAACTATTTTTGAGCCATGCATGTGGTCTGTTATGGGCACCTATCCAGCAGCACTATACTAGTGTTTCGGCTTTGTAGACTCGTCAGTTGTACGGTGATTTTCGTCTGAGCCAATCTCTTTTGGAGCAGAACCCACAATCACCAGCCAAGTGCAGTCGAGCGCAGAACATGCCCGCTCGATGATTTCAATCACATGACGACTTGTGTAAATAGTAGGTCTGCGTCTCCTCGAGAGGGTCTTCTTCCTAAAAACGATGACTCAGACGAATAGGCAGCGTACGCCTGAAGAGGCTGCCAGGCCGAAACCGTGTATTGCACTGTGAAGTGCCTATACTAGACCACTGCATGCTCAAAAGTAATTGTCAGGCATATGGAAAATTGACCGTGGTCTTAAGAAGACACTGGAAACCAATGGTATGATATTTCGTAAATACTAGCCAAAAGCAGTCGACTATACAACACTGCTCATTTAGTGATTTCTTTCACTTGATGGCACGTGTAAATAGTACGTATGTGTCTCCTCTGTGTGAGGAGTTTGGGTTCCTCCTAAGAGTGATTGGCTCAGACAAAGGGCACTGTGCAATTCATGAGGCTGCAAGGCCGAAACACGTGTTTTGCAATGTGGAAGTGCCTATAACAGACCACATGCATGGCTCAAAAATAATTATCAGGCATGTTGAAACCTGAGCG